CTAGAAGAAGTAGTAAGAGTAGGAATGGGCCTTATTATGTTTTTTTTTTTTTTTTTTTCTGTTGTGACATGTTGTCATGCAGTTAACACAGGTCTTGGTTCAGGGAGGGTTGGGTCTGAAGTCAAGCTCTATGCTCAGTGGCTGGGTGATGAAAGATTGTCTCTGGTTCATTTCTTCTGTGAAATGGACATGTTATTACTATTCTTATGAAAATTAAATGAGATAAGACATGTTGGTGTTACACAGTGTCTGGCACAATGGAGGGATCCTAAGGAAATGCTACTTCCCAGCACTCCTTGTCCTCCCAACTCCCTCCATTCCTTTACTCACTCATTCACAAGCATGTCCTCAGCCCTGGAAATACAAAAGAAACAAGACTGTCCATTCTGGTTTCAAGAAGGGGATAAGAAGGTAGAGAAAGAGAGAGAGATTATAGGATGTGATGATAAATTTAAAGGAATTATAAATCATTCTTGAGAGCACAAAAGAGAATAGAATAAAGCTTGCTTGAAAAGTCTTTAGAAGATCTTAAAAATCAGTGAAGCCACTTAATACCCAAATGGCTACAACCCCCCCCCCCAAAAAATCAACAACACTAACAACAACAACAAGCAAAACAACAGAAAATAACAAGTGTTATTTCCACAAGGATGTGGAGACATTTGAACCATCATACATTGTTCATGGGAATATAAAATTCTACAGCTGCCATGGAAAACAGTTTAGGGGTTCCACAAAAAGTATAACGCAGACTTAAGACCCAGCAATTTCACTCCTAGATATATACTCCAAAGAATTGAAAGCAGATATTCAAACAGATGATAGTACATAAAAGTTCATAGCAGCACCATTCACAATCACCAAAACATGGAAACAACCCAATTGGAGAAATAAAAGGTGGTATATCCACATAACGGAGTATTATTCGGTCATGGTAAGGAATAAAGTATTGACGAATGCTACAACATGTATGAACTTTGAAACATTATATTAAGTGAAAGAAGCCAGTTACACAAGACCATGCATGCATTATGTGATTCCATTTATATAAAATGTCTGCAGGAGGCAAATGTCTGAAAACAGAAAGATTAGTGGTTGGTTAGGGCTAGGGAGATGGGGCAGCAGTGAGACCTAAGGGTGTATGTAATGTTTCTCTTTGTGGAGACAAAAATATTCTAAAATTGACTCTGGGGGGTGCCTGAGTGACTCAATCAGTTAAGCATCTGCCTTCTGCTCAGATCATGATCCCGGAGTCCCAGGATTGAGCCCCATATTAGGTTCCCTGCTTTGGGGAGTTGGCTTCTCTCTCTCTCCCTGCCCCTTTCAACCTGCTCATGCTGTCTCTCTCTCTCAAATAAAAAGATAGAATCTTAAAAATAAAAAAAAATAAAATTGACTCTGGTGGGGCGCCTGGGTGGCTCAGTTGTTCAGTGTCTGCCTTCTGCTCAGGTCATGATCCCAGGGTCCTAGAATCGAGTCCCACATCGGGTTCCCTGCTGGCAGGAAGTCTGCTTCTCCCTCTCCCACTCCCCCTGCTTGTGTTCCCTCTCTCACTGTGTCTTTCTCTGTCAAATAAATAAATAAAATCTTTAAAAAAAAAAATTGACTCTGGTGATGGTTGCACATATCCATGACTATGCTAAAAAGCACTGAATTGTAGGCTTAAAATGGGCCAATTAAAAGATTTAAAATGGCTCAACTATCTCAATCTGTTTTAAAATTAGAGAGAAAGAAGCTAAAAATAAAAATGTTAACACACACACACACACACACACACACAATGTCCTAGGAGTTTAGCCAGACTTCCCCTAGATCCAGTATGGATAGTGACCGTGGGTGACCATTCCAGGGCTGGAGCTGAAAACAAACTAAGAGTGTGTCAGGCACAGAAGGTAAGAATGGAACCACATGTCCACAGCCCAAAACAGGGAATGGTGTTAGCATCTTCTGTAACACTAACAGGTTGAATGGGAGCGGGGCATGGGAAAAGAGGCCAAAGAACAAGGAGAGATGGAGATCACTTTGGACTTGGAAGAGTTGCACACAGCCATGGCTCCGAGTGACTCTACTGTTTCACTGGGCAGGTGTGCAGGCAACTTTGTGATCTTTCTTAAGCACCCATTTCCTATAAAACCGTAATAAATGTAATGCTCACCTCACAAGATACTTTGAGGATTTAATGAAACAAAATAGATAAAGGATGTAGCCCGAGCTGGCAAACAGTAGGCTGTCAATAAGTATTAGCTCCTTGCATCTGTGGGAAACCAAGAGTTTAAAATGAGAGATTTCCAGTTATCAACAAAATGTTATATTAGATGATGAAGGTTTCAAGCTTTTTGAACCTTTGAGTAATTTATACACATTACCACTAATTTAACTTCTTCTGATCCATCAAGAAACATGCATGGTTTTTTAAAAACCTCTAGAGAATTATGGTAAATGTCTCCTAGACTAATGATACTGATCTGGCCTCAGTAGCTCAAGCTTAGCCATAAAAATAAAAAGATCTTTCACGATGATGATATTCTAATTAAATATGCCAAACTTTATTCCAGGTATACACAATCCAATATTGGCAGAGCTAATTCAACCAAGAGCATTCTAGCCAGTAAATAATTCTCAGAAGCCAAAATTTCCATTTATACCTGTAAATAGAAAATTCAATTTAATGCAAATTGTTAAATAATAAGACCAGTGGGCAATGAACCATACTAAACACATCATATGAAATGGATCAGTCATGCAGCATGGTGACCAGGAAAGAAATCTGTGACACGATCTGCAGCTAAATGCTACGTGTTTACACACACATGCACCAAACAGGGTGCTACTCCAGAGACACAGTACACATATGAAACAAGTACAAATTCTGATTGAGTGGCTGGTTCTGTTCCTCTGTATTTAAAATCTTTTGGTCACCTTCCTTGGGATCATCTAACCATGAAGAATGCTATTTTATACAATGCTTGGCAGAGCAGTTGTTAGGAAGAGGAATCCTGTAAACGGTTTCACTGAAGCTAAAAATCATTAAGAAGTGGATTCAGGCATGCTTTTTATTAAGACCTCCTTCCTGAGAAAGTTCAGAAGTCACTGTCCACAAATTTAAAAAATAGCAAAATACTTGCAAAATCCCTCCAGTTATGAGGCACATAAGATGAAAGTCACTCAATGTAGATAATTTTTTCCAACTATAATCTGGGCAATAAGATAGAACTTAGGCTTCAGAGATTTTGGAGGTCGTTCAAGGTGCTAGATTTAAAATGTATCTTAGAGCATGTCTAGAGAGCAAGGGACTTGAGGGAGAAACGTTTGGAAGAAAATAGGTTTGATTTTTTAAACATTTTCCAGCTCTCTCTCTCTTTAGATAAAACATCGCGCATCTGAGCTTAGAAACAAAAGGAAAAAATCACATGGATCATCTTTCACCCTAGTCACCAAGGCGCTGACACCCTAACATGGGCCGTTATAACAAGAGAGTAAAATCCTTAATGCTGATGTAACACTTTACTTTTTGAGTTCCCAGAGTCTGAAGAGTATGCAGACAAGAAGCCAAGCAAATCTTAGAGGCAGATTCTCTTTTCCATATGTGTTTGTGTAGTACCTGTTTGCCAGGAACTGAGGGATTTCACCGTAAGTGCGACTTTCTGGCTAAAGGTAGGAAATGCCAGGTGAGCCTGGACAAGTTGGTCACCCTAAGTGTTTGTCAATAAAAGACTAAAACTGACATATAATCATATGATTTGATGTGACACACACATCAAATCAACACACATATATTTGAAATAATTTTAAAATAATTGTATTCAAACATGAAAATGCAAAATGTTCAGCTAATGAACATTTGGTTATTTCTACACTTCTATGAGTTCCCATCAAACCTTCAAGGAAATTTTTAGGTGTATTCTCCAATGAGAAGGACCCAGGGTCAACCTAAGAATTCAACCCAAGTCCCCTGGTCCCTAATAATCTGGAAAATTTTGGAAAAAAGGATTTTAACAGAAAATCTTTTCTATACTGATTCAGAGAACTGATTCTATTTTTTAAATAATTCAACTCAAATTTATGTTAGCCTGAAATATTAATATAATCAAGGAAGGAAATATTATCTGGAATATGGCTTTAACCCAATCAAAATAAAACATCAGATCATTTTCCTTATTATATCCCTTGAGCTTAGCATTTTCTTCTTACTACAAAACATTTAGTGAAACTAATACAGTGCAAGAAAGTTTTTATATTTACCCACCTTAATCACTACCCATCTATCTCTTCACATTTTTGAGAAAGATGAAAACATAGATTAACAAAATAACAGTTATTTCTTTCTAAATTTATTATAGGTATATTTGATGTCTTCCAAATTTCCAATGATATCTGCTATATTTTGTTATTGAAATACTTCATGTGATTAATTAAGAAGTAGTAATAATGTAGGACTATATCATTCAAAGATCTACCAGCATATGGAAAACACTGCAAATTACCAAATAAGTCCATTGAGTGAAACATAAAGTAAAAATGAGTTTAAGAGACAGCTGGACATGTTTATGTAGGCAAAGGGGTTGGAAGATATGCTGACAACACAGAGAGGTGTGTTGCAATAAACTTGAAGGAGACAGGCCATTGGGCCAACCATCCCTTTTCTATCCAGGAATTCCTTATGTTCTCATTAGTGTCTCACATCTGGACAGCTGCATTATTAAAATCTGGCCCTAAACTTGAGTCAATGAAAGAGTTTGGTATCTCAATTTCATTCTTCCTTTACATATTACACACACACACACACACACACACACACACACACACACACACGTTTCAGTTTTTGTTCAAGGAAGCATTTCGCGTCCAGATGTCAGATTTTTGTAACTCATGGCCAAGCAGAGAGAAGGCCTCTGTGAACAAGCTTGTTCTGATCATGTCCACCTCTGTCTGATACAAGTACATATTCATGGCACCTCACTTTCATAAACACAACATTCTAAACAGTTCTTTGAGTGACCACCTTCCGTACTGAGTTAGGCCTCAAGCTTCCATAGCTCAGTTTCCTGGGGGAAAAAAAAAATGTTTCAAGGGTTAGAGAAAAAGGGCAGTCCTCTCATTCCTTTATCTTTCCTCATCTTTCAAAATATGTGGTTAGGAAAGATTTTGTACAGGATTGGTTAGAAGCCAAGAGTTTCACTGACCCTCTTAGTCATTGCCATTTCACATTTTTTGCCTCAGGAACTGGTTGAGCTTTTGAATGCATTCACATTTTAATTTATATGATGTGAGCATAACCTGCATCTGAATATAAATTCTAAACACCTGCACTGGAGCTTTACAAGCAACGCGCACTTGGATCCCCACTGTCGCATCTGCTCTCCATCACGGTTCCCATCAGGTTGGTGCTATTATCTTAAGTTTTTAGATATAGAAACTAAGGTCCAATGACAGTAAGGGACGTGGCCAAGATCACTTGCCAGGTGGAAAGTGATCGAGTTAAAGTTTGTGCTGTGTAGCTCCACCTTTTAAATATATATATATTTATTAATATATATATTTCTATATTAATATAATATAATATAATATAAATGCACCTGGAAACATAGACATAAGAGTGAAGCTACATTCAAACAGAAAATAAAATCCCATCTTTTAATGTGATATTTAAAAAGAATAAAGTTGAGCAAAAACACAAACAAATGATAAGCTTATATCTATTGGGCTTACTTCTAAAGACATAATTCACTACATAGGAACAACATATACCGATACGCTATTTGGTTCTCACAAGTCAAGAGGAAAAAGGCCTAAGGAAACAAAATTCATGCATTCACTGATTAAAGACTTCTTTATAGTTTTGCTATCATTTTTTGTTGTTCTAGGTAAAAAAAAAAAAAAAAAAAAAAAAAAGTCTAACCATTAGAGTCAATAAACCAAAATACTAAAGTTGTTTGTTTATATTTGTTTAAATTTTAAGCACCATGCCTTTCACAGCAAAAACCCAAGCACAACCTATATTCTAATGAACTGACAATGAAAATAATATCATCCCAACAAAAGTCAAATCCGCATTCAAAAGCTATGAACTGTTCTTGGTGCACACAGAGGCCTTATTCTCTATTTGGGCATCACGGATAGTACTGGAATACAAAGAGATGTGAGAGAAAGGAGCTGTGGTGGCTGGAGGAAGAGGGCACTGAGGAAAGAGAGACCAAACCTACCATCTAGGGGGGACCAACACACCCTAAAGCCACAGAAGGAGCAGCCCCCCACCCCCAACACCCAGTCCCTTCTGATTATTCACTGTACCCACTTTGGTGCCCATTTCACACTTTGGTTCTCTCCTGGAACATGTGCCTTGGCCCGAACCCCAGTCTGAGGCTCTTCCCATGATAATCTGTCTAGTCCTTGCCAGGATCCTCCTGTCAGTGGCTAGAGTCTATCCATGAGACCCAGCAGCTGACTGGGGTCCTATTTCCACTGAAACAGAGCCCCCAGAAATTCAGAGCTACTGCCTCATACTTGGCAAGAAGAACTACCGCCCATCAGAATGAGCCCTGGATATTAGGTCAGCCTCTCATGAGCTTTATGCATCAAAGTCCTCTAGCTATTGTCATTGGAACACTGGCCTCCCTCCCTGAAACTGACTCTAGGCTTTCTCCTCTCTCCCTCCCAGCCTGCTCTGAGGTCCCAACGTGCCTTTAGCCCCGCCTGGAAAGGTTATAACATGTCACAGGTGATTTAAACTAATTTCAATGGTGGTTAATGGATTTCAAAGACCTGAACTTTTGTGCATTAGGAAGATCTACTCTTGCCTTTACTTTATTTTGTAGCTATCCTTTGGCTGGATGGGTCTGCTGTCTATATTCCCAGTAGCATTCATCACGCACAGTCTGTCTTCCTCACCAGCCTGCAAAGATCAAGTTTGTCTTGATCACTGCTGTATCCTTTTTCTCCTACCAACACATAGTAGGCAATTGGTAAGCATTTGCTGAATGAATAACTATGTAATACATGTGTGTAATTGTCAAGCAATTCATTAGTTTAGGAAATGAAGTGCCTGTCACATATTTGAATTTATTAATTAGCTCATAATCCTGATGCATTAACCGACACATTTTAACTTTAACATATTTACACATAAGGAAGGACATATTTTGTAAAACTAACCAATTTCAAAGGGTAGGTAGGAGGATGATTACAAATATCTTTGCATTTAGTCGTTGCTTCATAGGCTATGCAGAATTTATTTTGTATTACTGGCCTCTCAAGAGTGAAAAGCACAAATAAATAATGTGTTTTTATCTACCATCCTAACTTATGTGAAGTCTTTCTCCCCTCAGAAGAGTATCTGCCAAATTTGCTTTATAAAATTCTAAGTAAACAGAAGTAAAAGTCCCTTGCTGGAAGTAGCATTTTCATTCAACAACAGAACTATAATAAATATACCTTTTCTTGGGCTTCACATTTATTAGAAAAAAATCCTAGAAACTTACAGGTAAGATATATTGAGATGGTCTCATTATGTTTAGTTAAAACTAAGTATTTTATGACTTTATGACAAAAGGAAGAAATTATTTTTAAATATTTAGACTCAATATGATCCCTGCTGCCCCTACTCTTCCATCTCAAATAAACCAAAATAGTTTTCCAATTTTGCTCCCAAACTACTCTCTTGAAAAACTCTGTCTTTATGTACTGAAGAGAAGTAACAAACCAGTTATGGACGAGAAAAGAAAAAATTTCTTCAGGATGCTTTCTTAAAAACAAGGCTCCCTTTCTAACATGGACACATAAATGTACATTTATGCATCAGGACTAATCTGAGTCACAGGATAGAGTTCAATTTGCCTTTAACGGTGGCCCCCTGTGACTCTGAGCCAGTCCTCTCAACACCCTGTTTCCTCATCTGTCACAGAAGAATACTAAAATTTGCTCTTTGCCAGTTTCACAAAGATGCTTCCATATCTGAAACATACTTGGGACTTCCAAAATGGGTTTGATTATTTTGTCTTACTCCATCAAAATCTTAATTTCCTGCTTTTCCATATTGGGCATAATAATATCTGCCAACCTTGAAAGTTTATTGTAAGGATCAAGTGAAGATAATACATATGTAAAAGCTTTGAAATTTGAAAATGTTTTACATGTGAAAGTTATTTTTATTTGAATACTTTTGCAAATGCATGTCTAAACTAAATATAAGTTATTCAAAACTACTACGAGACCTTTCCAACTTTTGGGTCCCCTATTAATATGAAGTGCAGGAAGGCTAGAGTGTTCCTGCGGCTAAATGCATTGTCTGTAGAACACGTGTGTGCCTGGAGTTCTTTGTCCAGTGGTGGAAATTAACTTGTACCATGACATTCGCGTTCACTTCAAAATGTATTTTTAAGTGTCCACCGTGTGCCAGATACTTGGAGTTGAGGCTATGTCTTAGCTCGGGCTGCTACAACAAAATACCATAGACTGTGTGGCTTAAACAATAGACATTTAATTCTTAAAACTCTGAAACCTGGGAATTCTAAGGCCAGGGTGTCAGGGAATTCACTTCCTGGCAAAAACTGGCTTCCTAGCTTATAAGTGGCCACCACTTGCTGGGGGCTCATGTGCCCTTCCCTTCATGCATGTGCGGAAGGAGAGCGAGTTCTCAGTGTTCTTCTGCTTACAAGGGCACTAATCCCACCGTGGGCACCCTGCCCTTGTGAACTCATCTCAACCTAATTACCTCCCAAATGTCCTACCTCCACGCACCATCACATTGGGAGTTAGGCCTTCATTAAATGAATTCTGGGAGATACAACAATCAGCCCATAATAGGGCATAAAGATGAAAATGACAGTGTCCCTGGCTTCCTGGGACTCTCTACTGTGTTGAGAGTAGACATATAAAGGAAGGAGAGCCGTGCAAGGGAGTCAAGTGCCATGAGGACACAGGGGAGCCAGGAGGAGAGGACATGTGAGCTGAGTTAAAGAATGAACACAGAAGTCAGCCAAATGAAGGGATGGGAGAGAATATTCCCAGTCAATAGCATAGGCAACATCCCTAACATTGGGAATGATACAGGTTTCTTTACGGGAAAATACAAACTATAGTATGAAAGTGTAATGTGCCATTAAGATTGGCAGGAGAGGAAAGTGAAGAAGAGGACACGTTCCACCTCCGAGGGCCTCGTGTGCTTGGCTAAAGAACCCATGATTTACGGCCCTGGCCCTGCGCCTCTCACACTGCAGTATTCAAACCGGGGGAGCAGGCAGGACTAACGTGGCCCGCCGACTTGGAGCCTCAGTTTTACCCAAAGCTGTGAAAGAGAAGCAAAGCTTAAATTGCTAAATATAAGTACTAATTAATAAGGATAAATATGAAAACAGCCGTCCTCAGGGCTCCATCTTTGGGATTAGGTGAGTTTGTGAAGCACCACAGGGATGTCATGTGGAAACAGCTGACGGGTTTTAGGCTCAGCAGCGCCACTGTCAGATATGCTCCCCATCACTCGTTAACTCTGGTCATGGTGTGGAGAACGGACATGAGAGAGAAAAGACAGGGAACAGGAAAGCGAGTGGGGAGGTGGGCACAGCCTTCCAGGAAAGAGATGATGAGTACCCGAGATAGGGCAGGGATGTCGGTATGGAGGATTTGGGCAATGTGAGCACATCTGAGAAATTCGAGGAGGTAAGGATTAGTAGCATTTGCTGGGTGATGACATATGGATTTTTTCAAAAAGAGAGAAGTCAAAAGTCACCTCAGAATTTGGGCTTGGAAGACTGGATAGACAGTTGTGCCCTTCAGCAAGCTGTAGAATATGGCAGAACGTGACAAGTTAGAAGATTATGACTTCAATTCTGACCACGTATATTTCTACATACCCATGAAAATCCAGCTGAAGATGCTCAGAATTCATCCTGATAGTCTTCTCTGATTCTCCTGTGAAAAACCACAAGCATTTGCAAGGCGGTCAGAATTAGTGGGGCATTTGGCTTTATCTCCTTCCCCACTTCTGGTGGCCATCTCTAGAGTTTCTGTGGGACTGTTTTCTCTGATGCATGTCAACACCTACAACTGAGTAGAGACTGCCTGAGTGTGGTATCCTTAGAGAAGCACCAACCAGTTCTGTAGAGTTCCCTGGTTTCTAACCTTTTCAATAAAACACCATGTGTCACTGACATAATGACTACTTGTAAATAAGTAACTTAGGAGAAAATCCCTTATCATAACCTCCACCAGTCCCTTAGCCTCCTGTGTCCCTATTTCTATTATTATTTCACCTCCAACAACTTCATTTCCAATCCAGCTCCTGGCTTCCCAATTAGAATAAAACAAATACTGATCTCAGGTGGGGAATAAGCATCAGAAACAGATGAACTCATAAGACAAAAATCTTATGTCTCTGTCCTCCTGTTTTCATGCAAATGTCCCCAGTAATTAAATCAAGAAAAGAAAATGTAGCAAAAACATATCAGCCAAATGGTTTCAAAATTTCAAAAGAAGCTGTAAATATGGTCCTTTTTAGAAGATCAGGTTCTAACTAGAGTATGAGAAAGGGTAACAGTTGTTCTGATGAAGCAGTTTTTAAATTCTTGTCAGTGATTTAAAGAGAGATAACTGATGTATGTTGAAGAAGCTGGCAAGATTTTTAAATAGTTCGGACGCTACAGGGAGCATTTTTTTTCCCTTAAAGCAATGTACTCAGAAGTGTTGGCAAGATTTTATTTGAACGTAGCAGTGCTTATGTGAGGAAGTTATTTTGAATTACCCTAGTATAAATATGTATGACTTTATTTGTATTGAAAATTTCCTTTGCAAGTGAGTGACTGAGAGACTGTTATATCTCTATTGCTTGGTAAATGATTTTGGTATTTCATTTTGGAAATAAAATCTTATACTCAGAATTCAAAAATAATGTCAGAATCCTGTTTATGACCACAGGTGATTTTTGCACCTACATTAATACCTTTTGATTCTTATTTGTCATGTGGAACAAATGGCACCTGTTGTCTTACGCCTGGCTTCCTTTCTGCAGTATTCACGTATGCATGCGTTCATTCATTCAACAGACATACTTCCACACCTCTCAGCCACCAAACTCCACGCTAGGCACTGAACATACAGCAATGGTATTGAACTGCCTTCCTTACAATATTTCAGGTCAACATTCTGTTTGCTCTGGGTAGGTTTCTGCAATATAGTGGAAATTTCTAATCTTCCTATTATAGCTTATTATTTAAAAGCTAAGCCTGTTGAAGACTGTGGACAAGGCTATCTTTAGATAGTTTTTCCTCTGAACAGGGAGCACCAAAAGAAAGGTAAGGAGTGGTAAAAGCCGTACAAAATAGGACCCGAAGCAGAGGGAAGAAGAGAGAGGGAAGGGTACGGGAGAAAGAAAGCATTGTAAATAGGGCTCACACTTTTCACCTCAAGACCTTTGGGCAACCAGTTACTATTCTACATGAAAATGAAACTGCTGGCAAGAGAATCATCTAGACCATTGGTTGATGGAGACTGCTCATTTACTTAAAGGAGAAACAAAACACAACTCCTCATCTTTTCATTTTCTTCCTTTAGCTGTTGTGTGGTCTTAGCAGGTGAGGAGATCATTTATCCTAAACTGAAAATTCACACTTGCCTTTGTAAGCAAACCATACTTGTACTAGTCCAGTCCATTTTCTCCTTATGCTTTCTTTCTTTTTTCAGGAAAAAACTCTTATTAAAATTTAATATATTTACATAAAGTCAACCATGGAAAGACTCATCAGAGTCATTGAAAGAGAAAGACAAATATATATACACATAACTCTGCATATGTTCATCTATTTTAGGCCAGGTATAAAACTGATACAGAGGAAGAGGAATAAGACAGTTTATGTTAAATAATGTAACTGGGTACATAACTTGATAAAAAGGAGGTGTGTGTGTCTAAGTCCCTAAGTTCATAGTCCCTGCCTGATATCTTCATTTATCCTCATTCTTATCCAAGTCACTACAAGTGTGAAATGGGAGATCACTTTATTTCCCTTTAAAGTTTCTTAATGAATGTCAGATTTTACAAAAAAACAACAAATATTTATGATATAATAGACACTGTTCTAGGGGATTGGGAAACATGCATCAATGATTGATCACCTTCCTTTGTCAAATAAATTACTATTTAGAGATCCTAAATGAAACAATTATTAAAAATTTCCAAGTGATGGTACTTTGCTTCAATATCATAAAACACATTACTTTGCTCCAAATCCAAAGTTCAAAGTGATTGCAAATGCAAGCATACTTCACCCAGTCCTGAATATTTCCCTCAGCCACACAAGAACCCTTCCTAGTAGAAGCAGAACTTCAATAGAGATCGTCTCTACCTAAGGATCATGCAAATCATTGTAAATACTTTTCCAATATTCTATATAATTTGTAGATGATGGTAGGTAACACTATACCTCAGGATCATGATGATTTCTCTAAACTGAAATTCTAAATATTTTTTAGATAGATAAATTAAGCTTTAAAAGAATGAGGTTTTAATTTTTCCTTCTTGTTTTGAAAGGCCAAGATTTTTTGTGAACATTCACTTTTGTTCTGTCCCTCTTGTCTAGAAGGGTCCAGACATACACCAAGAACAATAGGTAAGCTAGCTGTCCTCAACCCAGAAGAATTACCCCTTTGCCACAGGAGCCATACTTATAGTTCCACAACAGTCAAGGAAAAACCTAATAGGAACAGATTTTTTGTGTGTATGTAGCAAAGTTAGTTCCAGAAAGAGAGAAAGAAGCCTGGTTCGCACTGTTGTAGAACCATCGGACCAATATGCTCCCTGTGTCCACAGCCCAGTCCTCCCCTGACTCCCTCCTTTCTAGGGCATAGGGTAGAAAAGTCACATACACAGTAGATCATGCCAGGGCCTGCTGACCAACCCCACTCCCAAATTTGCTGGCAGGAGAGTGAAGCAATATCTGTGCTATACACATAGTCTTACTTTTTTATTTTTATTTTTTTAAGTAGATGTTTCAGCACTCAGCTTGAGGGTTAGGAAGAAGATACTGCAGGCCAAAGTTCTCAGTGCCATTCTATCCCTTCTACCCCTTCCACGATTCCTTCAATGCTCTAAGATTTGGGTAAGAGTAGGGAAAGAGCTTTGGACAGTGTTAAGATCGTCTTCCTTTCACTTTGAGCTAATGGGATCTTTGACACTTTCTGACCACACTAAGCAAGCTACAAGACTGCTCCCTCCCTTGCCACATCACATGGGGAGAATGACACGGGAAAATACCTTTTTCTTACAATTACAAATGGACATGTGAAATATATAATCTTACAGGCTAGTATCGTGGTGTTTGTTATCATGAAATCACGAGCCCCTCCACACACACCTTTTCTACTATAAATTCAAAAATTCCATGGTATTTTTCTATTCTCTTTTTTTTTTAAGATTTTATTTATTTATTTAGAAAGAAAGCATGCATGTGAGCAGCAGTGAGGGACAGAGGGAAAGGGAGAGAGAGAATCCCAACCAGACTCTAGGTCCAGCGTGGAGCCTGACGTGGAGCTCGATCCCATGACCCCAAGATCGTGACCTGAGTAGAACTAAATAGTCAGACGCTTAACTAACTGAGTTACCCAGGTACCCCTCCAGGTACCTCCTATTTTTCTAATTTTGTTATCAGTAAACATTAATGCCTGTATAATGAAAGAACCAGTTAAATAATTCCTAGTAGAATCATAAAATAAATAACAATAATTAAAATAATAAAATTAATAACTAAAACACATGCTACATCTACACTCCTTTTTTATAATTTAACTTCATATATTTTTCAGATAATTCATGGGAAGGAATTCCTACTTATTGATACATGTATCCTGTATCAGACATATTTTTTCATCACAATCAGCTAAAACCTAAGTTTTCTCTTGCCCTTTTTTTTTAAAGTAATCTCTATGCCCAACGTGGGGTTCAAATTCACAACCCCAAGATAAAGAGTCACATGTTTTACCTACTAAGTCAGCCAAGCACCTTTCTTTTGCTCATTTTTAAAATGAGGTTCATAAGAGTTTAATATCTTGTCCTCAATACACAATTAATACACACAAAGCAGGGAATCAAATCCAATTCATCTAATTCCCAAATCTGTATCTTTGCCATTGTAATAGGCTATCATTGAGGAGACTATAAAGAATCTAGTGTCAAATATGTCCAGTTTGCAGTCAACAGGCAATAAAAGAATTATATAAGAAATAACAACTATTGGGGCACTTGGGTGGCTCAGTGGGTTAAGGCCTCTGTCTTTGGCTCGGGTCATGATCCCAGGGTCCTAGGATCGAGCCCCACATCGGGCTCTCTGCTCAGCGGGGAGCCTGCTCCTCCTTTCTCTCTCTCTGCCTACTTGTGATCTCTGTCTGTCAAATAAATAAATAAATAAATCTTTTAAAAAAAAAAAGAAAAGAAAAGAAAGAAAACTATTCCCAGATATACCTGTATCATGATCTTCATCACTAATTTGTCCTGTGCTTGGGCCCAACACTGGAGCCAGGGTTAGTGAGGAGGAAACTGCACATAGAAGCCTTTCTGGAGCCGAGGGTCTGGAGAGAAGACTAAATTGACCCGTGAAGCCACAGGCAACAAAGGTAGAGAAAGAATTCAGCCTGAGCATTTGACTTCAGTCAATGTTGTAACTAGAGAAATGAGCCTAAGTATTAGGTCCAAGAGGCAAAATAAAGCCATACATGGAAAAACAAATACTAACACAATCATCCAGGAAGACTGGAAGTGGAACATGATAGAGTGTGCAGAGTGGATAGACACAAGTGGTTCGGAAGGATATCTGCGAAAGGTGAGATGATTGTGGATAACCCGTGCATGTGGTGTTGGCCATGAAGGTGGCCCTGAAAGACTCAAAGTCCTACATAGAACCAGACACTTGACTTCTAGAGAAAGTCATCAATTCTCCCTAGGTCAGCTCTAAAACTGTCAGGCCTAGAGAAGCAGTTTTGTTGTTGTTGTTGTTGTTGTTGTTATTTTCTTAGCTATTATAATGGCATAGTTGTGATTATCATGGAGAAGAACATTTTTGAGAGGAAGGTTTTTATATTTAAATACCTGAAACAACTCTGACAACCAAAAATCACCCCCCTGGAATGGTGCAAAATTAGAACTGAGTAGAGCACAAAGTTTATAATTTTGACCTTTTGACAGAATAGGGACTATTACAGAAGACCGCAAAGCAGTATGAAGTTATTTCCAGGTCACCAGACAATCTGTAGGTACAAAAGGGGAAAAGAAAAAGGTACAGGCCACTCTGAGCCCCCAGGCTGATGTCCAAATGGCCCTTTTGGTGGTTTTGACCTACAAGGAGTATGGAAGGAATTCTCTGAGAAAGGAAACAATTAGGGGACACTTGGAGTATTTTGAGGAGTCAAAGAAAACAACAACAAAGAGCCATCAGTATTGGGATTAAAAATCGCAATAGTTTTTTTCCCCTTAGCATTTGCATCGATTTTTCAGCTTTTGCACCAAAAAGAAAATCTGGCCTTGCGGATGTTTAAGAGACTAGGGATTTCATTTTCCATTTAATAAACTGATTTTCTCCCCCACTATAGGTACTTGGAATTAGCACAAACCCCAGGATAACTACAATTCCAAAAGGGAATGTTCAGTTCATTATGAATGGTCTTACAGCAAATAATGCTTTGACAGCCAAATTCCTGGTCTCCAAATTTGTAAATTTGCCTTTTTTTCTCACAATTCTTACTCAAGACTGCTTCTGAGCTTTTGCACATTTAACCCTTACACTCAAAGACAGTATGTTACTAAACAACATGAGAAACTTCAAGTTTATACACTTGGATTAAAAGAAGTCTGATATTTATAACCAAATTATGACCATCTTGAATACAATAAATTAACTGCTGAATGAACATAATAAAGAAATACTGTATTTATTCTCATATCGATGGCTATGCATCCCTTGAACAGGTCTAAAGAATCATAAACTAGCTATAAATCTTATGATGTTTTCCATTTTATTTCTTCACTTAATGACAAGGCACTCATTTCTCAATACAAAAATTATGAATGATACTAAAGTTAAATAGTTGTTTTTAGTAGTCAAAATTAATTTATACTGTCTTTAATTGATCTGTATGTTCTGTGTTATTTTTTCAACTTTTCATTATAACAATAAAGCTACATTGTAATGACATTTCATGTATTACTTCATTTAATTCCCGATAAAAACCCTAAGGAATGAACACTATTAGCATACTCACATTGTTGATAAGGAAACAAGTTTAGAGTAAGTTGCCTGTAATCATACAGGTAGTAATCTGCACTGTTAGCATCAGAATTAGATCCTTCAGACTTCAACTGACACAGGGGCATTAAGATTCCAGGGACATATTTGCATGATCATTTTTAAAGGACTTTAAATCAGACTATATATTAATAAGTAAAAAAATGTAAAATTACCTTAAGTCTTACTTGTCAATTATCTCAGTGTTCCACTTTTTGACCTGTATAAATAGACATAACCAAAAAGTTCAATGATCAAATTCCAATAAGAAAAATATGGTGCATAATCAGTACTTATCTCTGCATTTGAAGAGGAGAGTGAACTGATTTTACACAGGGTATTGTTTTTCCTAATTAACTGTAGTTTTGTCACATATTTGTATGTTATTGCTACATAAGTGGTTTACAAATTGTTAAGAAGTTTTATGGCTATCTAGAAAGAATAATACAACTTAATAAACTTACACAAATGCTAAAGAGAAATTTTACATTAAAATGTTATTTTGTTTCTTTGTCCTAAGAGAATGATTAAAAAAAAAAAACAGCTAAAATCAAGCATTAGATATGCAAATATGTGTTCAGATCAGAGATACCAAAATTATTCAAATGATTAATTATTCATCATAAAATGTCAATTAATAATTATGAAGCATAAAAGGCATCTTTCTAATGCATCTTTATTTTTCTTGGCCTAAAAAGCAGCTTAATATACATGTTCAATTGACTTCTAACAAGTTCTAAAAATGCAACAAAGTAAATTGTAAACAAGTGCAAACTCTGAATTTCAATAAGTGAACACAAATGTGCTCAAAAATGAATGAAAGACAAAAAAATAAGGAAAACAAAAACATAGCCACATTCATGACATAAGCAGCCCTGTGTTCACTCACCTGCTAGGTAATGGGGCAACCTGGCCAAGAAACCAACCCAAGGACTCAAGTTGTGAATTTGTTTAGCAAGTACAAATAAACTCGTTTCTCTCTGAAGTGAGGGTGCTTTAGGAATTTTTTATGCTTTCTGAATAAACATTAAAAGATAAAGCAGTTTCAGTTTCTTTAAATTACCTATCATAATTTCTAAAGTCTGTTAAGTTCTGCCAAAGTTTCATTGTAAATGAGAATTTTTTCACATTGTTTTACTTATAAATTCTCTTTTTCAAGTATTATTATTTTTTTCCAGGAAGATTGTATCTTTAAAAAAAAATCCGTTTGAGCTGATATGATTCAGGATAAGAAACCATTTGATTACTAAGATATTGATTTATATTTATGATTATGATTTACTTTTCACTGACACCTGGTGAACTTGCTCTCTGATGACCCAGGGAGTTATTTTAGTTAAGGCGTCCCTGACCTCCTGCTGGTAGATTAATTACATATTAAACACTGTGTTTTCAAAACTAAATGATAAATCTGGACACATACAGGAGGCACAAAAGAATCAGAGCGAGAGCGAGAGCCAGAGAGAGAGAGGGGATGCTAAGAAACAAAACAAGAGATTGCAAAAAGAAGATAATCAGATTAAAAAAAAAAAAAAAGGAGAATGTAGAAAATGCAATTGGAAAAGAATTTCAAGAAAATAAGGATAAAGGACAGGGAAGGCTGACAGGAGGGCAAGAGGGAGGGAGGAAAGGAAGGATTTTTGGTTTCTAATTCCCTGGCGAAGCTGCTGGCGTCCGCGCCCTTAACGCCACAGCCTTCCAAGTTGAGGCGAAAGCCACCTCCTCGGGCCTGCGTCGCATCCAACTTACTCCAAGTTTTCTGGTGACTCCTACAGGGCCCCTTTCCGTCCCCGCCCCCCCTTCCCCTGGAGAGATTGACAGTCGCGTGGAGGAGGCTTTTCCAGGCACAGCCTTTCTCATGGTAATCAGCCCCCAGCATCACCTCCGCGCTGCGGCCGCTCCCGCTCCTTGCGCAGCTCGCGGACCCCGGGGACCGGAAACGGGGCGGCGGGCGGGGAGCAGGCTAGCTAGCGACCCAGGTCAGCTGACCCAGCGGCGGGGCGGGGGTCGCGGGGTTCTCGGGCGGGTACAGGTCTGGGGAGGGCGGGCGGGCGGGCGAGCGGGCGGGGATCGACACCCCCCCCCACACGTGCTCCTCCGCCTGTGCGGCGGGGCCTTACCCTGAGATCGAATGGAGGGACCGAAGCTGGGGGCGTGGGGGACCGAGCGCGCCGAGAATTGGGGGCGACAAGCAGACCTGTTTTGCATCAATAAATTAAGACGCTCATTTGAGTCCTGAAGTTTGCTGGTTCCTTTCAGGGAAGACGTTGGCAAAAGCACTGAAGCCGAGATTCAGCCTTAACTTCAAAAAATAAAGGAAAATAAAATAAAAAGAACCCCTCAGCTGGCGACCCTGCTGGGGCCAGGTGACGTGCGTGATTCCACAGCCCGCGGGCCTCACAGCAGGGATGTTAGGGTCGGTCTGAGGTTCTCTAGTCCTGTTTTGATTTTGTTTAAGAGGGTTTCTCAGAGAGATGCTCCTGATTTTTTTTTTTTTTTTAAGTAGATTTTCCCCTCCTATCCTAGGCTCAACTCCGAATGGATTGGATTGCAAGTTTGCACGTGAGAAAACCGTTTGGCTTGACTTGGACCCCTGCCGCCCCCCACCCCCTCCACACAAACCCCAATCCAGGGGTCTCCCTTATCTCCTTTTCCTTGCAACTCTAAAAAGTTGCCCACCTCCTGCGTAACAACACAGGGTTGAAATAATTCCTCTAGATGAAAGATCAATTCCGTTTCAAAACGAGAATACGTTCCTTTTTTTTTTTTTTTATTTTCTCCACATGGTACAAAATAAACAAAATTTGCTATAAAAAAATATTCATTAGTTGGGCCAAATTCGAATTCCTTCTACAGCCTGCGTGTTCAAGGGCAGAAACATTGTATCTCTTCGGGCTTCTGGGCCGGCGAGCGGAGCTGGGGCTGGCGCGGGAGGTGGGGGAAGCGGGGGGGGGGGGGGGCGAACTGCTGTGAAAGTTGGGAAAATTGACAGATTGAGAGGTGAATGGGGGGACAGGCACCAGATCCTGGCTGAAGGAAATTGGAAAACAAAAGTGCATCTTCTCACCCTGCCTGGGTGGAGGGAATCCTGAGGGAGGCAGTTTATTTTACTGAAAGAAATCCTAAAGAATTTTTTTTCTCCCTCCAATGTCGATTGCAATATCATTTCACATTTACTTGTATCTGTTGTTTTAATCCCCTTCGTCTGCGCTAATCTCGAAATGGATTATTAATGGGGAAGAAAGATCGGGAAGGAGCGATTCATTTGCAGGACTTGTTTTTGCTGTGTGAGGAGCCGAAAGCACCAGTCCTCTCTCGACTTTTCCCTGCGCCCTGCGCTTATGCATCCCGCTGATCCCACGATCCTCATTGTCCCCGACCTGGCCCTCGGACTAAGGGAGTGTTCGGAACAAATTTATATTCGGCTTCCTCCGATCTCACCGCCTCTACGTTGGTGGGAACTCTCGGTCAAATGAGGAGCAGAGTGCCAGGGGCGTGCCAGGCAGGGGCGGGGGGCAACCTACGTGCGCGCTCACCCCTCTCAGAGACCCTTCCCTTGCCATCATCCAAACATACCCCTTAACGGGAACCTGAAAAATCGCTTTTTTTTTTTTTTTTTTTTTTTTTTACCCCAAATCAAATACTCGAAAGTCGGAACTCCCAGTTCTAAGTGTTGGGGCTGCCTCCTGCCACTTCAACAATTACTGAGCCCAGAGCAATCAGATGATTAGGTGTTTTTAATGGAAATACTCGAGTCTCCCTCTCTCTCTCTCTCTCTCTCTCTCTCTCAAGCCAGATCCTAAGTAACCTGACACTAATATACATAATAAAGACAAGTGATTTGTTAGCCCTTCCCTTGGACCCTTTGACCTGTGGTTTTGCTATGAGTGTCTGCGACTGTAACTATCCAATGACTACCTGGGCTAATGCAGTGAGTGGGATCTTGACTGGAATCACTCCTTGCAATGAATGGAATCCTTCTTCCATGGGAATGGAAGTGGGGAGACTGAAAAGCAAACTTCTAGAGAAAGCTGGATTCCATTTTTTTTTTAATAAAAAGGAGGGAAAAGTGGGAAGAGGAAGAAAAAAGGACATTAACAATAGAGAGAAATCTCAGAGGAGGAATTTGATAAATCATACATATATTTAGTATGTACTATTACAAGTAATGTAAAACATAATATTTAAAATATGTCTGGCCCATATTGGAAATCATTAATTTTCCTTTTTTTATAATTAACTTTTAGACTGATGATCTTGAATGCGCCTCTTCTATAGGTAAATTATCTGTAATGGGGTGGGGAAGAAGATTAATTTATCTAGTTATTCTCATTGTAATACTCAAGTTGGGAGAGAGGTAAGTCTGTAAACAACTGTGAAAATTTACTTGTTTGCAACTTAAAGTAAGAAGTGGCTGTGGTCATGCTGGATAGCTTTTGCCCCCCCCCCCATACAAAATACAAAGACATGCACCTCTGGAAGTATGGATGTGACTACCCATGTGGTGGCTTTCCCCTCCTCTGAGTACAATTGCAAGTGACTCCTGAATTCAAAGTCTTGCTTTAGGCACACATTCAAAGCACAATTCAAAGCAGTTTATCTTAATATAAGTAAAAGTCTGGTGTTGGATCAGGGTATTATTTGTTTCAGATTTCATCAGACTGAAAACAGGGGGCTGTGACACTAATAATATTAAAGCAGAAAAGCTGGCGTGAGGTTGTTTAGTTCTCTTTAACACCTCCACCTTTACCTTTGCTAGAAGTCCAAAGGCTGTGGGACTGGAAGTTTGTGTTCTGAGGTTCTCAAGCACTTTCACTCTTCCAAAAAAAAAAAAAAAAAAAAAAAAAAAAAAGTATCACAGTTCTTTAAGAAATTGAGCCTGAACCATTGGAGGCTAAGAGATTTCTTCCTTTTCCGATAAATGCATGTGCTCAGCATCCTCAAATTTGGCTGTCTTTATTTACTTCTATATTAGTTCCAATTACGTGCAGTGTAAACCAGCTTTTTGATTAACAAAACAGCAGAGCATTGGTTAAGAACACTTAAACTTCAAAAAAAATTCCCCTGGGAAGTGGGCTCTGAATTGGTTAATAATGTGCAGTACTTGCTAAATTGCTGACTTCCAGATGTGGAAAATATCTTTCTTGTTTAGGACCTATGTAACCTGATTGGATTACGACAGAAGCGTCACGTTGGAAGCTTTTGAGTGATTATTTA